TAGGCTTCTTCCCTTATCAAGGCAATCTCTCTTTCAACAGAGACCACTACAAAAAAATCCACAACTAATCAAAATGTAGAATTGTAAAGTCCATGGCTAATGGATACATCTATAAAACACTCATGCACATAAGGCTCAAGGAATATTTTTGAAGATGGGTGTCAATAATCACGAGGCCCAAGATCAGGAAGTTTGCTATGAGATTGTTTCTCCTAGTAATACCAGGAGCTCATCCATAAAAATCTCAAAAACACAACTGTCCAAACAAGAGCTGAACAATCACAACAACAATGGACATGCCAAAGTGGATGGGGAAAAGCCCACAGTGCCTCAATCCCTACAAAGTGTACTAGAGGCAACTGTGCAAAGCTGGGAGCAGGAGTCTCCTTCAGGGATGAGTGTACCAACTAGTTATCTCTTACCAAATGGTCAGCCTTAGAAACAAATACACAGGTAACATGATATAGACAGAATAGGTTATATTTAGTAATATATATTTCAATTATACATGTTGAAGTCTATTTCTCTAAACTGGTTCCCTGGTATTACTTCTTAGAAATAATGATAGCCATTTTGTCTGAGGTCCTAAGTGTTCAGCCACTTAGCTTCCCTCCCTGGGCATTCTTTACTGCAAAAGGTATTTAATTCCTAGTTCACCCTCAGTAAGATGTATGCATTCTCATTTGCTATCTATGAACAAGCAAGGACCTTCTCTTCAAGGATCACCACTAGGGGGTGGGGGATTGGAGCGAGGAAGCCAGCAGTGCCTGGGTACACAGGAGACTGGAAACCACAGCAACCATCCCAGACTCCATTGTTTTCCAATCTGGGAAAACATGGCTAAGGGACTCTCATCACTATGTTCTGCCTCCCCTGAGATGCATGTTGGTGGTGCTTCAGGCACCCCTGCAGTGAGGCAGGACACAGCCCAGCAAACCAACAAAGTCAAACTTGGTGAACCAATGTGATTTCTTTTTTAGGGGTGTTTTGCCTGCATGTATGTCTGTGCCTCACATGTGTTCGACTTGCAGAGGTGAAAGGAGGGCACTGGGTGCCCTGAAGTTGAGGTAACAGGTTGAGCGTCCATGTGAAGGTGTTGAGAATTCAATGTGAGTCTTTGAAAGAGCAAACAGTTCCCAGTGGACCAGTTAGATTTACTGGGGTGACTTACACAAGTGTGGTGAGGGGCTACTGATAGAAGCACAAATGAATCAATGACAATTGCATCCTCCTGTGAGAGTAAGGGCTAAAGTTGTAAACCTGGGGATCACTGAACAGCTTACAGGCAGCTCACCTGAGGTGAGAAGTCTTCTTTCAAGTCACTCACTGTCTCCTTCAGATTTTTTGTCTGATCCACACAGCCTGACTAGTAACTAACTACTTCATGGCTGATCTGAGTATCTTCTGTGCAGTTGATTTTGTCTGAGAGTGTGGGAAGTCCTTATAATTATATATGTTTGAGGCAGGAAGGCTCTAGTGAAACTGGATGCCCCGAAGTTGAGGCTACAGATTGAGTGTCCATGTGAAGGTTTCTGGGACTTCCTGAAGCGTTGAATCATCTATTTCTGAGCTTCTGGAAATACTCTATAGGACTGCATGTTATTACCTCACATTATAGGATCTGTTTTTTTTTTAACCTCTGCTTTAATAGCCTATGTTTTAAGGAGCTTCCTCCACATTGGAAGGTTTAATCTCAGAGGAAACTGATACACAACCTATCCCAGGCATGACCTCCACGGACTCTCCAAGGAGCACTTGCCCATCATGTTCATTGCACCTTTATTCACAGTACCTAGGCAATGGAATCAATTTAGATGTCCATCAACTGATAAATGGGTAAATGAAAATGTCACACGTATCTACGAAGGTATATTACTCGGGTGTAAATGAAATGAAACTGGGAAATCTGGATGTAAAAGTAGGTAACTAGAAATTATGGTGAGGGCTGCCTTCTAAGACCCAATAGCCAAACATCACGTTTCCCCTCATATGTGGCTCTTAGCTTCACCTATTTGTGTGTTCTACGGAGACTACATGTAGAAGCCAGGATGCTAGAAACATACCTGTAGTGGAGAGATTCAGGAAGAGAGAGGAGAACAGGGTGTATATTAGAATGTAGGTGATTTGAAAACAGAGCGTGGTAATGCTGGGTATAAAATGATTAAAACATGTAGTGGAGCGATGGGGAAGAGAGAGAGAGATGTTAAAACTCAACTCAAATGACATGTCTATGAATGAGCTACATGGAGACCTATCATTTTGCATCCCAAGTAAAATGATAATAAGGGGATAGTAGAACACATTTGCTATAAAAGAATGGGGCATTGGATAATGTGTAATATGTGTTTTACTCATGATAGGGATAGAAAGAAGATAGGGTAGGTTAACAAAAAGGATTTATGGAAGTCATATGAAACCCCATTATCTTAGAAGTTAATAAGAAATATGGTCTTAAAGATGTTGAGCAGTGGTGTCACACATGGATTAAAAATGGGTAAATAAAGATGCCAGTGTGATTAAATGGAACTCTCTATAGCAGATACTGATATCTGCCTAGGACTTACTGCTCATGGAGGCCACAGAGGCACCCAAAACAAAACAGGTCATTGCCATTGCTCTCGCATGGCCATCCTAAGCACATGGTGTTAGTGAAGACACCAAACACTTTGGTTGCAAGATAGACAGAGAGCAATCTTGAACTTAGCAGGAAACTCTCCTAACTGCTTAACTTTTGCAGCATTGCGTGGTCTTGTGCGGGCTGCTGAGACAGAAATGATGGTACAGTCTTACTCCTGAACAATGTTTCCTACAGTACCAAAGAACTAGCCAAGATGTGTGCACTGGTGTAATACTGGTATTACTGTGTATGAGCACAGACAACCTCTCTCTTGAATGGATTTTTTTTATTAAGAAATTTTTTGCAGTTTTATTGTATCATGAGGCATTGAAACATCTGAACAAATCAGTAACTGGTTAGTTGGTTGGTGAAGCAGCTGCTTTCTCCTTCACTTCTTTGGGTTACTAGAGCAACTTGTCAGTAGATTAAAAAAAACAAAAACAAAAAAACAAAAAACCAACAATCTTTTGCATTACTTAAGTCTTTCCAAGGCATGCACAGGTACAACACAAACTTTTCCTGTCAGATGCAACTAGTCTAGCATCCAGACATCATCCACGACTCCAAAGTGATAGAACCGCACAGCGCCCACTCCCACCTCGGTCCTGCTCGTTCGTGTATGATATTTGGAGCATCTGTAGGAGTGAGATAGGACTGGGAAGAGGGAGGAGGAAGCAGCGTGACTATTTGGCCAGGAGGAGGTCAGCCAAAGTTGTGCAGGGCAAACCTGAACCTGTCATTGGTACAAACCCAAGCATCCTTGATGTTCTTTAATAGAAACATCTGGTGGAAACCCATGATGGGATATTCATCAGCCTTGAGCTGGCCTACAACCATGCTGATGATGCAGCTATCTGGTGTAGGCTGATGGTCCTACACTGTGATAATCTGCTGAATTTTCTGGAACTTCTCCACAATGGCAGCTTTCCCCTGGAACTGCTGTCCTTCCCATATAAGGCATGATGCATCCATGTAAACTGCACCTAGTTGGGTTCTGTCGTTATCAAATAACTGATAGTAATGCTGAATAAAGCTGGATCCAATCCGCTCCCAAATTAGCTTGTCTCCCATCCTGGAGAGTCATCTACCTCACTGAGACCATGGAGCTGGCACAATGGCAGCAACCCAGCATGGTCTCCTCTTGAACGGATCTAGGGCCTGCTCCACAGAGGAATTTACACCATGATAACCAACGCTTTGAAAGTATAGGTCCAAGGACAGAAGCTATGATTTTTTTTTAATAAACATGATGCTAATCTGCCTTCACAGTATTATTCATGTTTATACTGATCAGTCTATACAACTCTGTAGCATAGTGAAAAGAGCCTCCCTCCTCTTGCAGGAGAGGGTAGGTAATGCAGAGATCCATAACTGTTGAGAAAGTATGAAAAATGAACAACTATGTAAGATTGGGGCAATTACCATTTCAAAAAGGCTGATGGAAAGTTCTGGAGCCTCCATAGACTCAATGAGGGTCTAATGGCTGTAAATGGCTGGTATATTATTTACAGTGTAGAGCAAATACTTCCCCGTCAGTACTTCAAAAGGAATTCCCGCATGCCTACAGGGATTGCATTCTTTCTTTTTCGAGACTTGGGGTTTCTGTGTAACTCTGGCTGGCTTGGGATTTGTACTGTCAACAAGACTGGCCCCAAACTCACAAGATGTACCTACATCTGTGTCCAGAGCTCTGGTATAAAAGGCAAGCATCACCACATCCTTAGCCTTTGAGAATTTCTAAGAGGTATGTGAACACACCAGTATGTCACATGCACAGCTTACTTTTATTCTTTGTGTCCTTCTTGATATTTGTAAGGTTAGACTCTATGAAGACTCTGAAGGTGAATGAATGATGAGTATTTAGTACAGCATTTTTTCATGACGAATTGCCTATTATATTTGCAATTTCAGCACTATTCCTTAAAGGATTTATCAAATTCAATACATTTGTGGGGAGTGTGTATAATATCCAATGAACAGCACACCATGAGAATAATACATAGTATACCTTCACATGGTTTCTCATAGGGATGAACTTTGTGATGTACAGCACAATTGGATGTCTTTGTCATATTGTTACTGCATGCTATGCTTATTATGATTTTTTAAAATCAGATAAATGTTTTTGTTATAGCTTTTCCCCAGTATGAGAGAGAAGGCTCAGTGTTTAATAGCACTGGTTGCTCTTGTGAACTGGAGTTCAACTGCAATATACAAATAGCTACACACAACTGTCTTTACTGTCAACTTCAGAGGATCTGATGTTCTCTTCTGGCTTCTTCCTGCACCAGGCATATGTGTAATGCAACACACATACCTGCAGGCCAGGCACTCAGCACATTAAAAAAAAATAAAAATAAAAATAAAAAAACTTTCCCTGAAGTTACATTTACAGAATTTTATTTTAATATAACCTTTGTTACATTTTTAAAACATTTCAGTCTTTATTAAAGGATTTCACAAGCTTGTTATATTTGTGAACAAGTTTGTGATTTGTAAGCAGGGAACACCAAATAAACATTATGTCACGTTACTTACAACAGTATGTTTTTCTTCTGTATGAGTTTTCTGATGTCTTATAAGATTCGAAATACACATAAAGGATCTGTCACAGTCTTTGCATTTGTAAGGTTTCTCTCCAGTATGAATTTTTTGATGCTTTCTAAGAAGAACGCTCTCAGTAAAAGATTTGTCACATTCCTTACATTTGTAAGGTTTCTCTCCTGTATGAACTCTCTGATGTCTTTGAAGATGTGAGTACCTGAGAAAAGATTTGCCACATTCCTTACATTTGTAAGGTTTCTCTCCAGTATGAATTTTCTTATGTGCTCTGAGAGTTGTGCCTTCACGAAAAGATTTGCCACATTCCGTACATCTGTATGGTCTTTCTCCAGTATGAACTCTCTGATGTATTCTAAGAGTTGCACCTGTAGTAAAGGATTTGTCACATACGGTACAATTGTAAGGTTTCTCATTAGTATGAACTCTCTCATGTGTTCTTAGATACGTGAGCTGGGTAAAGGACTTGCCACATTCTACACATTTGTAAGGCTGCTCTTTAGTATGAACTTTCTGATGTTGTCTAAGAATTGAGTTTCTAGTAAAAGATTTGTCACATTCCTTACATTTATAAGGTTTCTCTCCAGTATGAACAGTCTGATGTCTTCTAAGAAGTGACTTATGAAGAAAGGATTTGTCACATTCCTTACATTTGTAAGGTCTCTCTCCAGTATGAATCGTCTGATGTCTTTGAAGATCTGAGTACTGGGTAAAGGATTTTTCACATTCTCTACATTTGTAAACTTCTGCACCAGAATGGATTTTGTAATGCTTTCTAAGTTCTGATAATTCAATAAAGGACTTACCACATTCTTCGCATTCATAATCTATTTCTGAAGAATGAGTTTTCTGATGAATTCTAAATAATTCATAGCGGGTAAAGGATCTGTCACACTCACTGCATTTGTAAGATTTCTCTCCAGTATGGAGTCTTTGATGGCTTTTAGAGTGTGAAGGCTGATGTAAGTCTTTACCACAATCTGGACCAGTATGTTTCTTAGCTCTATGGGTTTTCTGATGTCTCCTGAAACTGGAACAGTGGGCAAAGGATCTGTTACACTCCTTACATTTGTAAGGCTTCTCTCCAGTATGTAATTTCTGATGGCTTTTAAGTGCTGACAACTGAGGAAATGACTTTCCACATTCTTTGCATTTGTAAGGTTTCTCCCCAGTATGAAGGCGTTGGTGTGTTTTAAGAGTTGTACACTGGGCAAAGGCTTTGTCACAAAAGTTGCACTTGTAGGGTTTCTCTCCAGTGTGAATTCTCTGGTGTATAGTGAGATTTGCGGAGGTACTGAAGCATTTCCTGCATTGGCCACACTGGTGTCGTTTCTCTTTAATGTAGATTATTTGTCGTATGAGACTGTGTGTAGACCTGAAACGGCCATCATGTTTCTCCTGTCTCTGTTCTTTGTTTGCACTGTTTGTTCTCTGATCTTGAGCAATGCTGGAACACAAACTGGAAGATTTCTCACAGTCTCTAGATTCGCAAGGTTCTTCTCCAGTGTGCGTGCTGTTACGTCTATCTAGGTTTGATAAGTCAACAGAGGCATCCCTGTCCTCACAGCTCCTGTGGTTATTAGAGGTTTCTGTAGTGTCACGTCTTTTATAAAGTGCAGAGTTGGAGGGCTCATGAAGCAGTTCACCAAGCTCATTAGACTGACAGGACTCCTTTTCAGTCCTCACCTGTTGACGGACAGTACGACGTCTAGAATACTTCTCTGAAAATGAGTACAATTCAGATTAACAGGGCTTGTTCCCAGATTACACATGTGACAAGTGACTGTCTCCGTAAGTTCTCTTTTAAGATAATTCTACCTGCAACTATTTAGAACAGAGCTCCCAGTAGTTGACACTTTTAATTCACTGTAACTGTATGAATCCTCAGCTGACATGCTGTTTACATGAGGACCCATGCAGTTACAAAGAAAGGATTCTTTCAGTGGGTCAGTGATTTCTAATACATATCTCATCTTTACTGAAAATGTCTCAGTTGGCATTCTCTGAAATGCGTACGAAGTTTAATTCAATCTCAGGCTCACACTGTTTGTATCTCATTTGTTCCAGGCAGGTGACCAGGCCTACTCTGCACACAATAACCCACGGTTTCTGTGAGGAAACCTATGACCAGTGCTAGAACTCTGGGAAACAATACAGATGTGTGAGACAGCGCTGTGCTCAGTAAATGAGAAGTGCTCAAAGTAGAGGAGTCTAGGAATAAATTCCCAATTACGATTTCCAGTCAGAATCTCCAGCATGTTCTGGGAGAATTTTCAGTTTGCACACCTTGAGTTTTCCTTACAATTAAGACAGTGTGAACTGTAATGACGGCTATAGAGCTTTAAGACGTGGGTGGAAATAGTATGCGCTACTGAATGAGTGTATACTGGAACCAAAATTAAGGGTACATGGCATCTCTAAAGTGATAAATGAAGAAAAAGTAAATACAACGAAACCTTCTCTCTTAACCATTCTTTTTTTTTCCTGATTCTCTGTGAAATTCACATCATGCCCCCACGTACACTTATTTTCAGGACCTTTCCAATCTGCCTTGTATCTTTGTAACCTACCCCTCAAAAGACAATAAAAAATAAAAGTTAAAATTTAAAAAAAATCTGGCCATGACTCTGGGCAACAATCTGCTCTTGTATCAACAGCAGCCTTCCTTCACACCTGGAACAGTTGAGCTGCACCAGTCCTGCTGTGCATATATAAGTAAGTCCACTCCTCCACCACGTACGTATTCTTCATAGTAGCATTAGAAGCTGTGGCGTGTCATACCATACACCCTTAGCCAAACAGCTTTCCTTACAAATGCTTGTAACAATGAGTCATTGTCCTGGTTCCAGGCCTCTGGCTTCTGCTACACCATCAATACTGGCCCCTCATGGAGGCTCCTCTGGGATATCCTGCTATTGCCATGAGTCATTGAAATCCTACAGCTTTGGTGCAACAGAACTGGCCCCATGACATGCTCCAGCAGTTCATAAATGAGGTAGATATTGGAATGAGCTAAATCAAAGTCGTGGAACTTTTCCTGAGTGGTAACTGAGGTGGTTGGCCCTCCAGCTCCTCTGCACACACATGCCATGTGGGTCAGCCCTCCTCCGCTGCCTAGGCGAGGAGCAGGGTAGACTCTCCCATGTGACAGTCTAGGTTGGACCACCATATGGTGACTGGTAAAAGGTGGGGCTCACTTAGGAAGTCCCTAGGACATCAACATGGCCTCAGGCAGCAGCCCAGACCCCGAAAATCCATATGGCCTGTAGTGACAACATGGACTGCAGACATCTATACAGATGCATAGTGCTAGTGGGGCCACAAACCAAGACAAGGCCTTTGGTGGTGGCAGTATGGCCTGGATATCACCATGGCCTCAGGTGGGAGTGCAGCCTCTCACATCAGGATGTTCCTTGCTGCAATCAGGTCTCCATTTCCAGCTCTTCAGAGTGCACAAACACTATGCTTCCTTCCCTTTGTCTCCACTTTCTCCAGAACATAGTTGCTCATAATAGTGATGCACTCTGGCTGTCTTCTGCATGCATGAGCAAGGGAAGCTCTTAGAAAATTTCTTTTTACTACCTAGACTTCTATTTTTTTTCCGTGACACCTTAATAGAGCATTTACAACCTATAAAGTCAGACAAAGGAAGAGTTAGGAATTATATATAAAAAAATTTCTCACCCACAGACACCAGGTTCCTATAGTTCTCCACCATCACATCAATGTACAAAGCCCTCTGAGCAGAGTCCAGGCGTTTCCACTCCTCCTGGGAGAAGTCCACAACCACATCTCGGAATGTCAACAGACGCTGAAAAAAAAACCAAGTTATACTTTGACTAAGTACTACAAGGTAGAATACTTTCCTGAATATACAGAGACAGGATGTAGATGAGTGAAGACCATTGTTACCAAACATCAGCAAAAAATTAAAGCATTTTTAAAAATCATCAAAAACTGATTTCCAAAATAGTCACATTCTGTAACAAATTTTCGAACTCTGAAAAGAGGATGACACGATAGTTCTACAAGCAGTATCCATGAAACAAGAGACAGATTTAAAGTATGGACATGGTTATCTACTTGTTATATTCTGAGTTCATGTGCCACAGGATCACAGTGTTCCTATCTCAGAAGGATAATTCATGATGAGGACATGTGCTTTTAAATGCTCTGCCTTTAAGGTCATCTTAAAATGCATACATTGAGTCAGTCTTCTCAATGCATACATTGAGTACTTGGTCTGGCCTTACATAATCTATTCTAACAGGCTCAGGTATGATTTTTAAACTATGATATTTAACACCACACCATTAAAGAGTAATGGGGTAAGTATAGAAGGCAGAACTCATAAGTCCTTTTTAGGCAAAGAATTATGGTTTTTTCCCACAGTAAGAAGTTTGTAATAACACCATATATATATATATGTGTGTGTGTGTGTGTGTGTGTGTGTGTGTGTGTGTGTGTATTCATAAGGCTATTGGGACCACTAACAAGCAGCAGATAGAAAAATCTGCCTTAGCCACATTTAACATAATACAAACTTATCCTAAGCATGTACAAGAGTCACCTTAGACAAACAACAATTTCAGAATTCTACAGCTGCACGGTAGATTTGGATAGCTGTTATTCAAGCAGAAAATGACTAGAGCAAAACCACCAGGAGAGTATCTTTTTCCATCAAATGTAAGGAACAGCTTATGCACATCTATCAGCCAGTGCTAGTAAGACATTTGTATGGATGCATTCCACACAAGGATGCCAAGCCTCAAGCCCAAGTGTTGTTCTCAGTGGGATGTTGTGTGTGATAAAAACAAAAGAAATGAAAAAAAAAGTAAAAATACTGATCTCTCTACTATAGAAAGTTACCACTGAGCTTCTTAAACAAGGGTGTGATTCTCTTGAGATAAACAGATTTGAGCGCCAACAAACACGTAGACACATCACCACCAACATGACACTAAACACAAAAGAGAACTAAGTACAAGTAGAACACAACCTCAGCCTACACTCAAGAACATCAGTTTCATGGCACAGTTAAGCCACATGTGCCTGCCGTGAAGGTAATCAGCACTTGTTATGAAATAGGATATAATGCTAATTTCCTTTGTTCTAGTTCTTTTACAGGTTTTTTTTGGGGGGGGGGATGGTGTTCCATTAGTATATAAACATATATTCAAAAGTAAAAACATAAAATCACATCTGAGGCTCCAGAGCTTCTGTTCCTAATGAATATTGTAACTGCATAAAAATGCATTGTGTTGTCTAGTCGCCAAGTCTGCTGAATTGAAGTCTGTGATTTTGTTTGTCTGTTTACAACAATTTCAAAATAAAATTTAAAACATTATCAGGAGCAGAAAATGAAAGGCTTCTAATGTATCCAACTACAATACTTTTGAAAATAGACTGGACATGACTACTGACCTGAGGCATGTTTCCTGGAGATTCAGCCATTTTTTTCTGGGTCTCTTCTTTGGTTTTCTCTTTGAAGAATAAAAAGTTGCCTAGTGGCTCTTTAATATCAAAGAGTCATCTACACGATCCATCTCTAGCTCTGGAAACGCCAAGGAAGAAGAGGTGGTTAGGCAATAAGAAGGGGAAGAGGAGGGGAAGGCTAAGACATATTCTCTAGACTCCAAACAACTATTGTAATCAGTAACCAACAGCAGCTGTCTTTATCTGCACTGGCCTCACAAGACCACAGTCAGTCTAGGAAAGGGAACGGCTCACTTTATCTCTCAGACGTTGGCTGTGGATAGTTTGTAGAAGAATCACTGCTTTAGTTGTTACCCTGTGCTGAGCACATCAGGCTCCAGCACATAGCTGCAAACCCACAGTCTCACAAATGGCTCTGGGTCATCTCAGTGGGTCCCAGGCAATATGATTAGAGATGAACACAGTAAAGTGCCTGCTGGAATTGTGGGCCAGAGTCGTGGAGAGGTAGGACGTGAGCGTGGGCAGTATTAGATGTGCCCATAAAAATGTGTATATATGTATGTTATACACCTATGTATGTCAGTGTAAAATAGCTAATAATAGAAGTTTGAGAGGGCTATTCATTCATTCATTTAAGACAGAATTTTTTTGTGTAAACTTTTTAAAGGCATGTGCTACTATGCCCAGCTCATACTGGTTTTTTAAGATTTATTTATTTTATGCATGTAAGTACACTGTTGGTGTCTCCAGAGACCCCATAAGAGACCATCAGATCCCATTTCAGGTGGTTGTGAACCACTATGTGGTTGCTTGGAATTGAACTCAGGACCTCTGGAAGAGCAGTCAGTGTTCTTAACTGCAGAGCCATCTCTCCAGCCCCTCAAATATTTTTTAAAATCAATCTCTCTCTCTCTCTCTC